GAACGTATACAAGGTATATTTCCAGTCAGATACAGTCAGAATCAGGGTGCGTTGTGTTCGGAGGAAGACGGTAGGTAGGCAATGAAACACTGGGTAACGACGTTACTACCGAAGCGTTTACGACGACAGTCGAAGCAGATCATAGCAAAGATCATATAAAAACGACAGGGAGGGAGAGAGGGAGGGAGCGGTTGAAAGAGAGAAAGGGGGGAAGGGGAGAGAGAGGGAGAATAATTGAATACAATTTCCCGGTTGAAATCCCCTCTGCGAGTGTGGTCTTTGGAATTGGAATTACCTTACCTCCACTCGCGCTGAGCTACAACAATCACTTGTTCGTGTTTGTAGTCGTTGCCCATTTGGGATCAAAGTCGCTACTTGCCGTTGATGTCGTGATCGTAAAAGTGGTGCATGCATCTGGTCAGGGTCACGACCGGGTGCACTGAAAATAGAGGGAAGAAGAAAAGAGACATTTGACTTACCGTGAGGGAACGGGTGCGCCCGCCGCTGCTTTGGGCCTGTTTCGATTTTTCGACCACTGCAAAACCCATGCGGTCCCACAAACAGCTACCGATCTTGCAGTTTCAAATAAGATGCCACCACCCCCTGAATGTTTTTTCAGCCTTCCAACGACCGTATAACGAACGACGACGAAAAATGTTCTTAGGGGCATAAAATGCACCCCTGACGGGCTGCGAACTAATAATAACCAACTGAGGGTGCAAGGGGGGATGACCCGGAGGTCTTCCCTGACAGGAATCGGCCTTGCAGTGAACTGGTGCGGGTTACGAAATCGATAACCTTGCCCCCTCAGCATAAACAATCACACAACACCTAATACGACAATAATAGTAGGCTATGCCAGGAACATGGCACCCGGGTTGGGTCAGAAGGGCTATCGCAGGTAAGACCTTGATCAGGGTAGAACCAGTAGACACTGCCTAGGGAAGGCTCTAAGGAATATTCGTTGTCTGACCAACCTGGGCTGGTGCTCATAGGGGAAAAAATAAAGAATGATCATGCTTGGCGACCGAAGTACCCGTGCGACAAGGCTCGCTCCATAGTGCTTTAAATAGGGTTGGGAGAGGTTTGTTCTGGGCTAGCGCTGGTGTGTACAACCGCTATCTGATATTGTCTACCGCGTGGGCGCGGGGAACGCAGCCCTAAGGTAGCCAAATCAATGAGACTAAGAGCTAACACAAGAGAGAGAGAGAGAGAGAGAGAGAGAGAGAGAGA